TAATATTATTTTATCGAAGAATGCTTGGTTGAAAAGAAGAAAGAGAAAATATATTTTGAAAATAATGGAGATCAAATAAAGACTAAATAAATAAAGCTTGTTGGGTCGGTAAAGAAGATTTGTACTTGAAATACCGATGTCGTAGCCGATACTAAGCCCCCCGTAGCAGCAAAAATGAACACGATCAACACTAGACCAGTGAGTTCTCCTTGATACGCCTTGTTGCTAGAAGCAGTCATAACTCCTCGGCCAGACATTGTTATTGATCATATCTTGCTAGGGCAAGAGTTTAGGGAAACAAATAAAAGTTTCTCTTCGAAGATTTATCATTTAACTTGCTATGCTTATATCGTAGAATTGGGTTTGGACACTAAAATCATTGAAATCTTCACTCGATTAATTTTTCACCATACATTATTTTTCTAGTGGAAAGTCGTCAATATGTAAGTTTTATGGTCCCCAAACACAAGTTGTGGTGTGCCAACCGGCCAAAGAAAAAGACCCCGAAGTTTGAAAATGTTTGGGCCGACTAGGCCGCCACGGGCCTTAGATTATCGGTCATGCACGGTTAACGGATATTTCAAGGAATAACGTTATTTATCCTCGTTAGGATCAACATTCTATATGATAGGTTATGTATGGATATGAAACTCGTTTTAGAACATGATCATCAATTTCACAAAGGGTAAATAAAATTACTCTATTTCAGGTCGCCCTCGACACTAGTCCACTCATGTACGCAAGAGTGATACATTGCACCTTACATCTCTCAATTTTACTTAATTTTTATGGTAAAAACGAAAGTGGTCCATGTCTATTCTTATTTTCATTCATTCAAACTCAATAAACGTCTATTCTTCTCATTTCTCAAGGGATAGAAAAAATGGATTTGGGAAGCAAAGATTGTGATATTCGTGGTCCATGCAAGACTAAATTAGACTGCATTCAATCGTGCGGTCCAAACTATTTGATCAGAATTTGAGTTGGCCGGTGGAAATCATTGTTGCTGCGTCAGTGCCAAAGTCAAGCCAATTGAGGAGATTGTCGGGAGATTCAGAGGTTTATATTTTGGGTTAATTACATCACTAGGCAACATTAAGTTAAAAAAAAACAAATAGATAAATAAATAATAATTTCAGAAACTAGATGTATGTTAAATTCTCATATTTCTTGTTTATCATCCTCACAGTCACCTTCCTTCACTGTTTCTGCACCACTTTTCACCACCACCTTCTACCAAAAATCATCACAAATCGAAAAAGAAAACTCTTCGTTATCGGCCAATCTTAATTAAGTCACCAACGACAACGCGAAGATTCTTAAAACCCGACGTTAACAACCACCACCACCATAATGCAATCCATCTATTCAACAACCCGGCCTGAACATGTAGTACTCTATACATAGTAGATTTTATTTACGAAAACCATTAGGTTCGCGCAACATAAGAAGTCGTGAAAACTCTTACGTACATGAATATATCCATCTCTACTTACATGTTCAGGCCTATTAGACTATCTCATGGGAAGGGGAATAAATTAGTTAAAATCTATGAGTCTATGGACTATGGTTATACACATACCTCAATGGGTTTTAGCCATTGCAAAAAATAAATAAAAGACATTTACAACTAACAATCTACCTTGTTCTTTGAGAAAATAAGCATTTTAACATGGATCAATTCAGGGTTTGTTTGACAAAGCTTTTGGTAAAAAAAATTTAGTAGATTTTGATAAAATTTGATGTAATGTATGATTTGAAAGTTCTAACTCTCATGAAATATATGATTAAAATTGAAATTTGACATTGTTAAAAGGCGACTCAATCAGTCAATTTACACATTGAAACAAGAACCTAGCATATGACCCACGAATTCCCCACGGTTTAGCTTATTATTGACACGCATACTTTTTTCTTATAAACCAAATGTTGTCTACCTTCCAACAATCCTTAAAGTATCCAACCTCGTATTGATGTGCATGCATACTTAATATACTTGTATATATCATATATGGCTGACTCTTCGCATCATCGTGCTAGCCAAACACCCTTTCACTCTCTTCCTCCTCCACCACCACAGCCACCGCATTTGATAACTAACATTAAAAAGGTTCAAAAACCCACCACCACTAGCTCCTCCACCTCCACCTCCGCCAAACGCCCCATCAATGGAAAGCACCCAATATACCGGGGAATAAGGAGCCGAAATGGCAAATGGGTATCGGAGATTCGCGAGCCACTAAAGACCACTCGTATATGGCTAGGAACTTACCCTACTCCGGAAATGGCTGCTGCCGCCTATGATGTGGGGACACTTGCCCTTAAAGGCAATGAAAAAACAGTATTGAACTTCCCGGAATATGTTAGCTATTATCCGGTGCCACCTTCGCCTTCAGCGCCGGATATTCAAAGAGCAGCCGCCAGTGCGGCGGCGTTGATGAAGTTAGAGACCGGCAGTGGTACAGATGCCGCTGTTGGACAGCCAGCGAATAATGAATCAGTAAATGAATTAATTTCGAATAATGAGCATGATTTTGTAGATGAGGAGGCACTGTTTGATATGCCTAATCTGCTGGTGGAAATGGCCAACGGAATGCTGGTTAGCCCACCAAGAATGACCTCACCGCCGTTGAGTGACTCCGAATCACCGTTAAACTCGGACACTGAAAGTCTGTGGAGCTATTTTTAGTTCATGATGGAAACCTTTAAAAACCCTAGTTCTTTTTTTCATTTTCTTCTTCTTCTGATCTATCAATCTACTATCAATGTATATATGTTTAATCAATATATACATTAACTTATATGCATTAGTCATAATCTCTGTCATCATGCAACCTATATAATAGTAAATAATGTTACTTTGCACGAAAAATGTGACATAATGGTTGACAAAATAAGTGTTAGAAAGATATGATTGGTTGAAAAAGTTGACTGTATTTTAAATAATTCAATGATAGATTGACATGAATTATGTCAACTATTATGTTCATGTAGCATGATTCATAAAAATTTTGCAGGATATATCAATTCTTGCTTCAAGTGCATACTCTCAAGGCAGCTTTTACGATGTAATTTACTATTCCAATGTTATAATCATGTCGAAGAAAAATTTCCCCTAAAATGTTAAGTATTTGGGCTTCAGCAATATTTTTTAATCACACATTTTATGGTGATCACAATTTTTATCCACTTTTAATCACACGTTTCGTCAAATTTTATCAAAATCTATTAAAAATCTATTTTTTTGATGAAATCAAACTGTGGATTAATGATTGTATAATTACTAAAATTTACATATAAAAATGTGTAGCATTTCACATATTTAATGAAAGGCTTCGACTCAAGAGTGACATTCATAATACCTTAAGGCAATGCCATAATGCACTGCTTTTCCAACATCTAAGGTTTCACTAGAGTGATACTCTGGTAGGGTATTGTAGGTGTGAACGTTCTAAACTTAGTTTCAAGTTGGTAACTAATCCCGCCGTTACGAAAACCTTAAGCAGCTAGCCAGATACACGGTGTATTTACTTTTATCTAAAGCTTTAACAAATGAGAGAGGTGCAATCTGGTGATGTATCTAGAAGTGGGCATTTAGACCGCTATATCGACAACATTGACCGACCCAAAAGTTCGGTTCATGATGGTTTGGTTTTATGCTCTTATCGTGGTCGATCGGTTTTGGGTTGGGAAATCACGAGACCAAAATGTTCGATTTGATTACCAGTCTGGCTGCACCTTGTCCAGCCATGTAGTTAAGGTCCAAATCTCTTAAAAGATATGTTATCAAAAGCGTATAAAAACCTTGATTTTTGAAGAAATTTAAATAGTCCTATTTGAATTGGTTCAAACCAACTAATCAAACCGAATCAACGAAAACATGTTCAAATTGTGTTCGTTTGATTTTATGCCCATATTCGGGTATCTAGGTTTGCGGATTCAAGAAACCAAAATGTTTCATACCAACCCGCACGTTACCCATCTTTAGATTGTATCACCCAGAATCAGACCCAAATCACTACATTTTTTTTTTTGACGTAGGAACTAGCAGCCGCTACCCGCCAGCGAAGCCCCGACCACCCCGAAAGGTGGAGGCCCGACTACTGTGAGTACGCACTAAATAAACCCCGCTCCATATGCAATAGCCCGCAAACCACACAAGAGAGGTAAACCGCACTAGGCAAGCCCAGTGCAATGGGCTCGACCGAGAAAGTGTTAACAGGAGATTCGAACTCGTGACATTTGATCTCTGTGTTCACCTTCTCCAACAAGTCGGCCACCCCGAAGGGATTAATCCACTACATTTTACTTTGAAGTATAGAAGATGTGAAGGATGAGGGCTAGGGTTGTTAAGGATAGAGTGGTGGGTAGAGGTCGGTCACACACTATTCATGCATGCTTTTTTCTTTGTTTTGTGGTCCTATTCTATTGTCCGACAAAAAATCTTATTACAGAAGCCAACCGAAAGGCTGCTTATATTTGAATGATTAGTGTAAGTTTGACTATTGAAACATCCATAGTCGACATACCCTTCACTGTCTTTAATTTGTTTCTCGTGAAAAAATTCAATTTGTACTCCAATTGGAAAAAAGAATAGGAGAAAACAAAGTTTGTTCTTATTCATTATATGAGAATGCAACTTTTATATCTAAATTTTGAATTTTGGAAAGAACATGCATCAATGTCAAAAATCTTGAGGTTGGAGATAGCCATATTCAATATTCATCACAAGTTTAGAAATGAAATTATGTAGTATTAGTAGCATTACTCGTTATTAATATGTTTGTTCGTGACAAATGTAGACTATTGGAAGAATATATAAATGAATCTTTTTATGCAATAATAGTATATCTTTATATCTAAGACTTCTTTTCTTAGTTAGTTAGTTGTAAATAGTCTCCGGGCTATGGAGCAAAATTAGTTGATCGGACCTTCATCGAGGTATTTAAGGTGATTTTCAAGTCTTGAACAAGAGGATATCATACGATATGACTGAAACAAAGATATGAACATGATACTTATTCTTAACTATCTAAGCTATTAAGTCGTGCAATCTAGTTATTGTAATTGTACAGAGTTTATACACGAATAAAAAATTACGTTGAGGAAAATTTAGGAATTTCACACTTATAATTTTTATTTTACCCTAGTTTTTCTTATAAATAGGAAGTCATCATTGAGTTTTGTATTATCATAACAGAGAGATGATAGCATATTGATTTTTCTCTTGTAAATTTCTTTTCGTCATAATGAATTACTAAAACGGTGAACGACAATAAAATTAGGGTTTTTAATTCTCAATCTAAGCGATATTTAAAATATCAACAATAAAAATAAAATTTATAAACAATTGTCATTCAATTTTGGGAGTTGAGACATGACCATTCTTTTGAATAACTAATATATTCATCAAAACTTTGGGCGATAACTATTATTTCTTGAAGTAGATCTTGGTAAAAAAGAACCCAAAATAAAAAAATAAAAAAAATGGGAATAGATGTTTGATGCCCAAAAATTTCGTATATTAATTTATCCACTAAGAAAACATGGTTAATGATTAATTTGCGGGTGTTTGGGTGCATGTATCATGCATGAATATTATTTGAGACCAAAAGCTGCTTTTGGACTAGTTTGGCTACTTTTATGAAAGTGTTTCGGGTAGTTATAAGAACTTTTAGAGAAAACTGACCCATTGTACCTTTCTCTAAAATCATTTCTGAAATAAGAAGTTCACAAAAAAATTAACATGGTTTCCTCCAAAAGCTTTTCTATACGAAACAAAAGTAAAAACAAAAGTCATGTCAAACGAGCCCAAAAAATCATTGCAATATTAAATTAACGGCCTAAAATCTTGTTGTGGCAACTAGTAAAAGTATTTGATTTGGATGGTTTTACCTTAGTGGATTTCTAATTTTTTAAAGTAGTTCTAAAATTAGGGAACAAGTTTTTCTTTTATTTTATTTTTATTAACTTTGAATTGTTTCTTAGATCTTGTTGTCATACAATTACATTTTTTAATGATTTGCTTGGTATAATTATTCTTTTTTTATTTACTTCTTTGTTGATATAAGCAAATTATTAGAATTTTCTTAGTAATTAGGAGGTTTTTTTGACAAAAAAGTTATTCAGACTTTTGCATATTTTGCAATACTCCCGTAAGTATTCCATCTACACGAGAAAATCAACCCGATGATGCTAAACAATATACATTGTTCAATGAGATCAATTGTAATTAATTTTGATGACTTATGACTTAATTTATCATTAATTTTGTTTGTTAGGTGACACTCAGGGCAAATTGACAGAATTTCACAAAAAGAACGAAACTGATGAAAAATGAAGAAATCCAAACATTGGGGGGACTAAATTTGCAAACTTCCAAAAGTTGATTCGGTCATAAAATTTTTGAATTCAATTGGATATAGATGGAAGCTAAAGGATAAAAAAGAATGAAGAAATGACTCAAAATGGACAAGGAACAAAAGGAGGGGACTGAATTACAAAAGCCAAAAGAAAAAAAATAATAGAAAAGAAAACGGCTGGCGCCAGCTCGTTTAAATTCAACAGATGATGGCGCGCACGCGGCTTAACTATATGGCGCCCACGCGCAGCAAAATTCTGGGACCACTACTTACAAATTCCGGCTGCCATTATAATTCCTTTTTGAATTGAATTTTACACGGAAATCACATAATAATATTGGAGACCTCTCTCTTGCCTCTTCATACACACTGATATCAATATGGGACCAATTGCTATATTTTGAGAGATGATATCAAACCCTAGTATTGAAAGACTCACAATAAATTTAGAAAGTGGTAAAATTAACATATGTGTCATAAATATTATAAATAATATTTTTCACATGTGTAATCATATAGATATTTTAAAATTTAATACATTCGAATCATTCGAATTCAGGCTAGGCACATATTCGGGTCATGATTATGATAGATTTATTTTGTCTTGAAAAGGAAAATTATATATCATAACTTTATCGATTGTCAAGAATGTACGAGCAGAAATAGATTACAAATCAAGAATTAGCTAATTCATATAAGCTTAAAATCCACCTGAGGCCCAACTAGTTCATCAAATTTTCTATCTCATTAAGGACGTGTTTGTCTTATAGGATTAAAGAATGTCGTTAAGAAGTTTTAGCTTTTTTATCAAAGTATTGTTTAGGATTGTCCTTGTGATTAAAAAATATAGTGCTAGCCTCATTTTATATATTGTCAGTTTTTCTTTATCTTTTATTATTAATTGTTTTAAGGTATTTTTACAATTTGTTAGTAGTTTGAGGACTTAGGGAGCAATTTCAATTGTGACTAGTAATTAGATATTTCTTTTATTAGCTGCAAAGTTGAGTTTCGTTTGTTCTTTGGAGTATTTTGATTAAA